TCTCTGTAGCAGCTGGCTCAGTAGGAGAGGCGGACTCATTCCCCCCCCCCCCCGATTTGGGCTTTAGCAGATCAAATTAGGGCTCACTTTTGTTCTGCTATGGGGCAGAGACCCACCCAGAGACTTACGCAACTGGGAGTGTGGCCAGAGCAATTTCCAGTCTCTCACATGATCCATGCAGACACCACCTCCATGCAGTAGACCAGTTCTGCTGCCCTGGTTTGGAGCAAGTGTGCAAATTTTGGTGCCCAGCAGTTGAGATCCCAGACGGTATACAAAGCTGCTGCCAAAACTCCGCACCACTGCAGCCTCCAAAGCTGGCTCAGCTCTGGCTGTATTTGACACCCTCCCTTGCCTTTGTGTGTTCTCTCTCTCTCCCCCCCCCCTTTTCCTTTTTGGTTTTGCTTCTTTTGCCACCATCAGCCCACACAGAGAGCCAAGGTGCCCCGGGGTGAGCTCTGTTTTTTTGGGGGGGGTCTGCTTGTCAGAGGGGTAGGCCGATGGTTGTCTGCAGGGACTCAGTAACGAGATGCTCTTGTGTGAAGAGCAATTTCAGAACCGGGAGAGGGAGGCCAGGACACAATGCAGTCACTTTGTAAAAGCAAAATTAACCAGTCGTCACTGACCACTGACCATGGAAGGAGTAGCTCTGCACTCTCTGCTCTCCGCTGCCAGGCAGGCAGCCGCTGCACCCAGTGCTGGCCCAGCCGCAGTTCACCTCCTGCAGAGGCATCGGAGGCTGGAGCCGCACTGGCCAGAGTGCTGGGCCGGAGGGGGGGTGGGCAGGAAGCCACTCAGGCACCAGCGTGGCAAGAGCCAGGCTCTGGAACAAGTTGGGGAAGTTCTGCAGGCTCTCTTCTTGTGACCACGAATGAAATGCTCCTAGTACTATGTGCTTAACAAAGCTGTGAGCTGCCCCCTCCCTTGACATTTGGGGTGCCCCCTTTGTGTTTTTGTGCAACATCATTGCACCAAGCAAGTCACCCTCTCCTCCTGCTTCTTGCCCCCATCGCCCCGTTCTCCAGAATGGCTGACTGGCTGGAGACATCCTGGGACACATTTGAAGATGAGACCTGTGTGCATGTGGGTCTGCGTGTGTGTGTGTGTGTTTGTACATGTATGTAGTGTAGATAGGTACACTGTATAAATATTCTCATTCATCATATACCTATATTATACCCATAGCAATTACAGACTTTAGTGTTATCTTTGTGTTCCCAGTTCTTTTTAATTTTCCAATGTCTTGGGGCTTTCTGCTCATTTTTATTTGCTTTATAAAAGCAAGTACACGGCCCCTCCCTTCTCCCCCCGCCCCCTCTCTCGATGGTGGGTGCCAAAAGCAGATCTGTGCAACCCTCGGGAATTGTTGCATCTATTTTAGGATGCTTTGGGGGGGGAGGGGCTGGGGGGAAGCGAGGTGGACTGAACCATAGCTTTAGCATTTCCCAACACATAGAAAATGGATGCCTTTGCTATGGGGTGCATAGCTGAAAATGAAATTTAGAAAGGATTACAAAGAAAAAAAAATTAAAGATTTTTTTAAAAGGTAAACAAAATATCTAAAGTGACAATAAAGTTAAATATCTATTTTTGTACAAATGTAATTTTAACCATTGCATATTCTTACATTATTTTGGAGGGCGTGTGTGTGTGTTTTTCTGCTATTTTAAAATCTGTTCTAAATCTGTTATCCATATGTTCAGCCCACAGTGGTGCAGGGACAAGCCTTTACTCTGCGTGGAAATTGCTTCATCCGAGTTCCCTTCAGAAATCATTTCCCCCCCTGGAATTTTACTTTCCCTGCTACTCTTTGCAAACCAGACGGTCTTCTGTTGTGCCCCCCCACCAACAGCATTATCCTGCAGGTCTACTCTACTGTGAAATCACTACCATATATTATTATTCACTAAAAAAATAAAAAAAAATAAAATCTGCTGGAAATTGCAGTATTTTGAACAAATGTATTAGAATTTTTTTTAAGTAAAAGAACAAATATGAGCATTTTAAAATATAGTTCAGTCCTAATTCTTTTATTTTCATTCTGCAGTGGGCATTCTGTGGCTTCTCTGTTGTGTTTCCCACAGCGATGTGGCCCTCCAGAGCGATCCTAACCGGGCCTCCTCGGGATCCGACTGAGGTCTCTTCAGTGGGCTTACTTCTGGGAAGGATGATTTGCCCTGTTGGTGACTTAAAGAGCAAAGTCTGAAAATGTATGCTTTTTTTAAAAAAGGAAGAATAATTCAAATTAAGTGCAGCTCTGGGAAGGTCTTTCCCCTTAACCTTCTCTCTTTCATCTTTCGCAGAAGTTGTAAGGTTTAAGGTTGAGGGGCCAAGAGACAGAACTGTGGGTAGCCCAAGATCCCTTGCGGTGGATCCAGAAGGGGTCCCTGGCGTCTGTGATTGAGACTGCGCACGGCTTCCCTGGGGACACCACGATGGAGGCTTTTGCCTCCTCCCCCCACCGATGGGTCGAATTGGCTGCAGTCAGGCCCTTTCCGGTGGTTCCAAATGGGTAGCAGCAGCAGCAAAATAGAACAAGAGCACCGGGCACCTTAAAGGCTAACGATGACTGATCCCCCCACAAGCAGCTGTGCCTCAGTTGCTCTTCCATTTCCCCAGCTTGCATTGGTCAGTTTCACATTATTCGCTGCGGAGCCGCATTTTGACCCGCAGCTCCCCCAGATTTCCTCCACGTCTTCTCAATCCTCAAAAAACAAGGATTGAGAAGACACAGAGGAAATCGGGGGGAGGGGGGGAGATGCGGGTCAAAATGCGGCCACACAGCGGACAGTGTGAAATTGACCAATACAGCCGGGGGAAATGGAAGCGCGACGGCGGCACAGCTGCTTGTGGGGAATCAGTCCAAGTGTTATGAGCATCATAATAAACTTGCTTCCATTTCTGGGGCAATAGTCAGTGCAGTCTTCTGAAAGCCCTTTTGGTTTTACAAATGTAAAAGTTGGTTTTAAAAATACTGGACCCACCTCAGGGAGCGAAGCCTCCGGAGGAAGCTACCAGTTCCAGAATGGAGCCCAAGCAGAACCTGAGGGGGGCAGCTACAGAACCTGAAGGGTCTTGGGCGGAACCTGCAGCTCACTGGCTTTTCAGATCCAAATACTGATAACCCAAAGGAACACAGTGTGTCACAGTGGTGAAGGAGTGGCTGGTGGGTAGCCCTACTGGTGCAGTGATTCATACAATCAGGTTGTTAGGAACAAAATGGAGTAACAAGGTGGCAGCCAGCAGAGTGCTTCATCCTGATCTAGTTTAGGTGGGCCAATTACAATCTGGAGGCCACATCTGGCCCGTGGGAGCTTGCCATCATGGTCCTCAAACTGCTTGACCATTTTGCAGGAGCATCAGCCTACCAGATTTTGCTGCATCAGTGAGCGAACCAGAAAATCTGAGAAGTAGCTGGGGGGCCATTCCCTGCAGCAGAGGAGAGGGCGGCTGGGCACATCTGGTTGTCCGCCAGCCTTTGAAGGCTCCGAGTTGTCTGCCGGCTCTTCCTGTGGCCAGTTCCTCAGGTTGAAAAATCTGCCTACCCCTAACTTAAGAAGGCTCAACACAGTGAAAGTTGAGACTCACTCCTCTGAAGAAACGCAGTGGCTTGCAAGTGTCCGTGGCAGTAGCACTCTGCTGGACTCGTCTCCCAGTTTATTTTGGCACACTGATGCCGGGACAGTATGTGATCGTCTTCCCATCTCTTTGCCTGGTGTCAAATGTTTGTGCCTCTGGAGCGAGAACATTGCAACACAAAGCTGTCTGCAGCCACAGTGGATGTCGGGTTTTGCAAACTGCAGCAGAATGACGTTTGCATGAAGTTGCTCAAGGAGTGGACGGAGACCTTCCTAGGACAGTAGGCCAAACATCCACCACTTCAGCAACAGCCTGTTAACCTTCCATCAGGGGTGGCCACCAAGTAAAAATTTCAGATCCAGGCTTCAGGGTGGAGACATTTTTACTGTGATTGCGAGTTCAGGACTGTTATTTTCAATGGGGAATGTATACAAGGGTATACATAAAGTATACAAGGGTATACTTTATAAACAGCAGCTGTTTATAAAGACAACACCACCAAATTTGCACGGAGCACAGTCCTCCCTCTTAATCTAAAGACCCACTAAGTTTCAAGCAGACTGAACAAAAGGGTTCAATTTCACTCTCTGCACGGCTGCACTTCTGTCTACCGATTCCTAGAATGACCATCAAGTGGAAGCCTAGCACAGAGCTCTGGCTGGCCATGGCATTAAAAAAAAAACACTGTCTGCATTCATTTCATTTTCTTACTCATTCAGTGACTGGCTGACAATTAAAAAAAAAATTACCTTTCCAGTGACAAGTCTGCATTTGCCACCCTTCTCGCTTGTGGTCTGTTTGCTTTCACAACGTGAAGGACCTTAGCAGACACCCCCCCCCCCGTTCCTTCCCCCTCGTCTGCCTTTATTCCCTATGGGAAACTTGGGGGTGGGGCTGAGGTGGCTGTTTCTCCAACCAATGACACCAGAATTGCAGCCAAGTGAGTGCAACTTCCATTGTGATCTAGATTTGTTTTTTGCTCATTTTGATGGAAGAAATCGGGTACTGAAATATGCGCCATAAACAGCGAATGGGAAGAACTAGGTTTTGGAGACTGAAGCAGAGCTATTTCACCCACCTAGCTGTGGAATGCCTGTCGGAGCTTTCAGCTAGTCTACAGGAGTTGCTCTCTTCCAGCCCACCCACCCCTTCTTCGTGTCAGACCGTCCTAAAATGAAATCAGAAATAAAGGCAGCTATGTGTAAAAACAATATTTAATACCCAAAAAAGAAGAAAAACAAACCAGCTACACAGTACAACATGAACAGCTCACACGGACTCAAAGTTGGCCTGGGAAACTCACAAAGAAGTCCTGACTTATCCTTCCCAAGCATTCCTCTAGCTGTCTGGCTTTGTCGAAGGACAGACCTCTCCCCCCCCCCCCCCAAGCAGTCCATGTAAACAAGAAGCCTCTTTTTCCAAGGCGCATCCGCAAGTGGGCTAGTGCTCCCAGCCTGTCCCTCTTCTTTTCTTATCAGCGAGGTTACAGCCTTGCCACTGATCAGTGCAAAATACCCAAGGGGTTCTCGCTCAAGGAAGCCTGCAAGACACAAAAGTCCTGGTCAGAACTACGGCTCAGCCACAGGCAGATTCAAAGGCCACAAAAGCCAGAGCGGCCTAAATGTCACACTCCAAACTATCCAAAAATCAGCAGGTAATTTCGAGCTAGGAATTCTTTATTAGGAGGCAGACAGGAATACATCCCATCTCCCTGGGAAGGCAGCACGGCCAGCTTGGTGTCTACTGTTGGAGGAGCCACCCCTCGGCTGGTGGTGTCATTCATCCCCATGCATTTGGGGAAAGGAGTAACCTATTGCCACAAGGAGAGGGATTGGGGCCGAACAGGTGGCACCATCTCTGACTGTGGGTCTATAAACATTGTTGCTCCTTGGCAGTCTCTCCCACACTCTAATAGAACACACACCCCGTTAAAATTTCCTGGAAATACAATTTGAGCATGTGATCTGATGAAGTTTATCTCCACAAAAACTTATATCCAGAATTAAACTTTGTTGGTCTTCAAGGTTGTGATCTAAAAAAAAAAGGGATGGGGATGGGTTAGATAGGCAATTAGAGAATACTGGACTAATTGGGGAGGGCATGTAAATTGAGTGGATAATCCAAGTGTGGAGCTATTGGCAGTTAGCATTTGCTACTGAAAGACTAATGCGAGCTGACTCAAGTTAGTTGGTCTGAAGCCCACGGTGGACTACAGCCGGCGAAGACCAGCAGGTGAGATGACGACCAGGTTAGTGATACCAGTGCTCCTGGGGAGGGGAAAGTATAGCGGTGGGTCCAGGCATGGAGCTCAGGGAAGGGGACTGAGAAGTAGAGTAGCTCGGTCCCCTTCCACCCTGCATCCCATCTCAAAGGTAGAAGGCGGCAGTGGGGCTAGGAGGACTGGCCCCCCCCTCCGACATTGGCGCTGTGTAACGCCAGGTCTATTAATAATAAGACCACAGTCCTTCGGGACTTTCTGCAGGAGCAGAAGGTAGACCTGGTGCACGTGACCGAGACCTGGGTGCGAGAGGGAGAGACAGTAGCTCTCTCTCAATTAGCTCCTCCCGGGTTCTCGGTCCTTCACCAATCACGGACTAGGGGGGCTGTATTGGCTGCCAGTTTGCTTCCAAGTTCAATTCAAGAAGCCAGTGTGGTGGACAGAGTATCAGACTAGGATCCTAGGCTGAAATCTCCACACTGCCATAGAAGTTGGGCTGCCAAGCCACTCCTCGAGGTGTGGGATTCCCCACCCTCAGGTCCTGATGTCGGCCAATGCTGGAAGCAGCATCAATAGAAAATTTAAAAAGAAAAGTAACGCCTCATTTACTTACAGGAAGTTCTTACCACACTTTGTCACTTCCAGTAGCTCTTGGAATCACCAGGATCTCTATGGTAAGAACTTCTTGTACGTAGACAAAGCCTTAACATCTACATGCACCCCTTTGCCCAGATTGCTCGAATGTTTCGGCTGAAATTGAAATCAACAAAGACAGAGGTCCTTTGCCTGAGTCAGGGTGGTCCGAGAGTAGGGATCCCACTCCCGACCTTCAATGGGAAGGCCCGTCTGAATGTACCACTCCCAACGCTGTTTGGGTGGCGAGCCTATTTGGGATTGCTCGAGGAGTCAAATTGACCCTATGCGGCTTCAGATGGCCCTTCGGGATCCGAAGCCCCCTGGTGGCTCGTTAGATGAGCTGGTAGAAGATTGGCACAGCCGACTCTCGACAGCCATCAACGAGATCACTCCCCGGCACCCTCTGCTCCCTCACTCTAGGCTTGCCCCATGGTTTACCCAGGAGAAATGCTGCAGCCAGGCTGTTGACGGGACTCCCAATCCAGGAGCACATCTGGCCTGTGCTCAAGGCACTGCACTGGCTGCCGATAGCATACTGAATTAGTTTCAAGGTGCAGGTTCTCACTGTTAAAGCCCTTTATGGCCAGGGACCTACATACCTGAGGCCTTTCCCCAAATGTTCCCCAGAGAGCACTGTGTTCAAGGGCCCAGGATCGATTACTACTTTACCAAATGGCAAACCAAACGCTAGGGAATTGGGCATTGGCTGCGAGGCTTTTACGAGCTATTTTGCAGAAAAAGTCTTGTCGCTATGAACTCCCAGTAGAGATCAGGGCCCTGCGGGACCTATCACAGTTCTGCAGGGCCTGTAAAACTGAGCTCTTCCGCCAGGCTTTTAGAGCTGCCGCCACTATTAACAAGTAGGATAAGAAGCCCGCTCCCCTGGAATGTACATTGACAGCCTGTACTAGCAGCTGGGAAAGACATCTGAAGACATCTATAGAAGATCTGCGAGCCGGCCATGGGGAGAGAGATAGTTGATGGTAGCCATCATGAACTTTATTACTGGAATCTAGCACTTATTAGGGAATTGTAATTGTTTTAATATTGTTTTAAATATCTTATTATAGTATTAAATGTTTTTGCTGATTTTATGTAAGCTGCCCTGAGCCGGCCTAGGCTGGGAGGGCGGGGTATAAATTTGAACAATAAATAATTAATAAATAAATAAAACTCATTTGCACTCTCCTTCGTTTTTAAAAAGCCACTCCACACTGCTGCTGTGTGCCTGCGCG